ACGAAAGGAGCAACATTCTTTAAAATAATTACTATATCGTTAAGAAGTTCCCTGCCAGTCGATGGTTCTTCTCGAGTTAGTGCTACCAGTCTCGGACCTCAGATCATCGAGAAGGCTTTTACAGTCTCAACTCAAAAATTATTTGAATCATAACGAATGTATTAGATTGCGGAAAGAGAAGGGGAAGATTTTTTAGTCATAAATGCATCAGAATAAGATAAAAAGAATGACAATAATACAACATGAAGGTTTGAACACAAATTGTTCCCTGATTATTGTTCACTTGACTTTTTTATTAGCAATAACACGGTAATCGTATGCTGCTTATCAAATGTAAACTTTTTTCGGCTCGAGCATTTGATAATTTCTTAACAAAAAAAAAAATTCTTTATGGACGTTATTTATTAAACCAACGTATTAATGGAGGTACCACATCACTAATACGTATAAGAGAAAAGAGCACAAAAAGTAAAACAATTACATCGAACTTCAAATGATTTCACAATTCCAGATTTCGGCTTGAAACTCAATTTTCTAATCCTGATAGCGTTGATATATGAACAAACCTTATTCATGACAATCATGAGTTACTATCAATTTCAGAAGTAGATTCATATATCGGCGTGTAAAGTATATATAAGCTCCATCATATTCGTTAGCGAGTGGCAATGAAGTCTGACATTTTGAGACCCGAAGTTAGGCTTCTTAATCCAAATATCATTTCGTCAGAAGCTCGACAACATCGAGAATTCCACGCCGGCTTCTTTTCGGAGCACGGGTGCAATATTAAAGTGAATAATAAAAATATTGAACATGTCGACAGCGCACGCAACTCGAGATCTGCATGACTGATTTGGGTGGAAAAATATTTTGTCGTTTCGGAAACTCGACTCGGAAAAGTGGAATTTGAGAGCATGACATTTGATAGGAACGCAAAGCTAAAGAAAGCCATAACAGTTTTAAAATAGATTAAGTAACGGATAAATCTACAGAACTGGATGTAATAAACCATTTAACATAGAAACACATAGTTTTTAAGTAAAATTAATTTACACAAAGCGTTCAACAAGAAAATTTTTATTTATTATTACAGCGGTTTAGAAGGCAATCGAATTTGATCACAAAGCTGAAAAACGTCTATTTTACATCAATTTATTTACATTCATGCTCATTTCTTGTGCTTACAGCACATGCTCCGTCTCTGACATTATAGCTAATTTGACCGAACTTTGCTCGCTCCCACGATCCAGATCGTTGGATCGAAGTTGATAATTAAGTTAGTCGAAGTTCGCTTGACATAGAGACTCAGTTTTAAACGTTCCCTGAGCTCCAATACCATCCCAGCAATATCTTACACTTAGCTTTAAAGAGGCCAAAGCTTTCTTCCCTTTTAAGTAGCCTGCCTGGTTCCATAAGCTTCATTTCCACATAAAGAAAAAGATTCAGAAAACATTTGGGCCAGATTACACCATTCATTAGAAACGGAAGCACCATAACAGTTGGCTCAGTCGACAGGTTATGGCCAAAGGAAGAACGAATCGACGACTGGAGACGGCATTTTCGAGAGCTCTGAACTAAAGGAATCCTGCTTTGATGGCCTACAGGGACTTTCAGAGCAAGAATTCGAATAACGACCTCTTTACATGCCATTCAAAAATGACTTCAATACCTTCAAGCATTCAAAATTTGACTCTTGTGACGTTCTATCCGACCTTTTCCCATTAAATTTCAAACGGAATGAAAATCGGAGCCAAATTTAATTGCTTCGATCTGAAAGCCAAGTTCTAATGAAATTTGTGTCAATTTTAACGTGTTTAGTAACAATCTTATTATTTCGTGCAGCTGAGCTGAACGAATTGTACAAAAATTACAAGAAAATCTATAACAAATCAAAAAAATTTACTCATTTCTGCTCACTGCATCGGGCGTGCATGCAATTTTGCTAAATCTCTATTGAAGCCACTTTTATTGGGTTTCTATCTCAAATGATATCGAATGAAGCTACTACTATTAGAAAACCACACTTCTGACATTGCATACCTCAACTTGGGCTATAATTCCATCGTGTTCATTTTTTGTTTAATTCAAAGTATGTATTACATCCCGTAATAGAGATCAAGCAACCGTAATACGAGTAAGATTTGGCTAGTCAACTAATTTATTTGAAAATTCCAGCTTGTGTTGAACTCTAAATGTCAACGAACATTGAAATCATAGAGACAGATTGTCGAACGAAAGATGACCATCATTGACCATGAAGTATGAATAATTCAGGTATGCCAGCAACCAAATGCAGGGACAAGGCCCGGCATATCGGGTGCGGTTTAACGATTTGCTTGACTTACCCCGTCAACACATAGCTTATTCAGCGCCGACCTCCAGGGTGCTCGCCCCTGTTTCCGATCTGTACCAGCGTGTCCCAAATTGAAGCTAAATTACCTACTGCAAGTCATTAGTTTATCCATTTTCAAGAGTATTGGTAAGATGTAAGATAAAATTCTATGAATTTCGATGTTGAATATATTTGTGGGAGAAGTTATATGCTCCCGTCACTTTACGTTAAATAGTTCCATTGTGGAAATATTAGGAAATGACTGTACTCAGCAATAGATTCCTGTCCTTTATTCTCACCGGGGCTGAAACTGGTGGGGGCGAATAATCCTGCATAAATTACTGTTCGGCCATTGCATTCGTATTTGACTTCAGTCATCTCAACTTAGTCTGTTATTTAACAACCTAAATATTACGCGAATATTATAAATTATTGTTTATGCTTGGTAAAGTATTCAATCTACTACGATGGAAGGGAGAGGAGCGAGGAATTTTCGGCCCCACATCGAATAATAATTACCGCATGAACAGATCTCACTCTGTCCATTTCAGACAACTATAGTACGACGCTCGATTGCTCAACTCTTGAAGCGTGCGCTAGTTCAACAAAGCAAATCCTGCAACTGAAGGAGCTCAGTGTGCACAAACTGGCGGGTGAGAGGAAGTAAATTCAATAATCTAGTTTACATCTGACAATCGACCGAAAAGTGATCAAAGTGAACAAAGTTATCCACCGCATAGAATGTAGAAAAAAATTAAGACACAATTATTTAAAGACATAATACATTATGGAAAAATGTGTATTTAATGCCAAGTATTAACACAAAATATGCCAACAGGAAAGGAATAAAAAAATCTCCATTGCGTGTAATCTAAAACCTCTATTGCGTGAAACCTCTAAAAAATCTAGTGAAACCTCTATTGCGCGTAATGTAAAAAACTTCTACGGCGTGTAATAACCCCAAAAAAACAAGCCGAGCGAGTAAATGCTCAACATTCTATTTCTAATACTAAAATGTAACGCGTTTATTCCATAATTTTAGGAAAACTAGACAGAATAACACGCCGAGGCTCAATTTCAATAGATTTGTAATAGAAATTCAGAAGATCAGTATTAATAGTTTTGAAGCTTTGAGAATAAAATGCCTTACGGTATTTTAATAAATTTATCGTTATTTTCATGGCCATTCTTTGCTAATAAATTACAGGAAAATAATCATGGCATCTATTGCTGTCAATTGCTTTCTATAAAACCTAATGGTGGTTCAAAGTAACGTCTTGTTCAAACGCATCATAAACCTTTAATTTCATTGCGTGAACAAGAATTAATCTCGCAAGATACAGGGGGAAAAGGAAGACTTTCACTCTAGTCGCACAATCTGATCAATTTTCACTAATACAATCTTATCCGTCATCATATTAGGATTTCAGTCAGTGGATCAAATTTCTCATATACATTTTAATCCAGGTTTGGTGCAATTTTCCACGGAATAAATCATACATTAGGTTGGTTTATGGAAGAACCCATTCACATTTTGTCCGGTTGGTTATAATTTTTCAATTCATCGCTCGGCAAGGACAGCCTTCATGGGCACTGGGCATTGATTACATAGGTACCCCCGTCATAGGTACCCCGTACAGATCACGTCACACATGTAGGGCTGCTAACACGCATCTTCTGCAGAGCGGCCGTGAGCTTCCCGCCAACAACATCCTAGTGCCACGGCTATCCAGAAAAAATGTTTACTGTTTTTTTCGAACTACTCGAGCTAGAGTTCGTTATAAATATGAAACTATAACGGAAAGTGATCACTTTTGCATTTGCGCACTGGTTGTTCTGTTCGAGAGGTGAATCTAGTTTATGGTATAAATTTGTTTTAGAAATTTGATAGGCGACGTGTGAAAGAAAAAAAGCGATTTTCATCAAAGTATTCAAATTTTTAGCGAACTAAAATAGAGTTAGAGTTTGTGTACTCATCTGAAGAGGCCCATGACCGTTGCAAATTAAAATTATTTCCATATTATTTCCTAAAATTTCGAAAAAAATACCGTTTCGCATATCTGCATGGGGGTCTATTTCCTCTTTCGAAAGAACAACTTCTATAAACAAGACATAAATTTAATTTTTTAGTTAAATTTATTTAACATAAAGTATTTATTACATCAATTTCAAGAAATCGATTTATGTTTTGATCATACGAACTTTGCTGACTGAACTTCCGCACAACATTTTTTCAATGTACATACAAACTATTGGGATTCTTAGTTGGAATTTTTTCAAGTACAATATTAAGCATCAGACTTCTGTGACCTCGGCGTGATCGCGGTGTCTAATTTCCTTTCTTAAATAAAGAAAATTCTCATGTTAAACTGATATTAACACGATTAAACTTCACTTTCGTGAATTCACTTGAGTATCTCAGTTGAAAATGAATTACTGCACATTCCTTACTACGATACGATATGATTATACGATTATATACGATAAACATAAAATAAATCTTAAAAATATCGCAAGTAGAAATTCTAATTATATTGAACATGAAATTATGATTTAATAGTCCTTATATTTCCGTGAACTATAAGCATCTCCGTAGGAAAAGTGCGAAACTCGGAATATATTTGGGTATCGATCACTAACACGTTTAATGAATTCACTGTTTTTTTACAGGTTCGGAAAACGTTAGTTCTGAGCTTAGGAACTCAGAACCGAGTGTGTCTTGTTAAAGTTCTTAAATACTAAGGAACTTTTAGCGAATTCAGGAGCAACGGAAGCTATTCAAGGGATAATTCGTTTATTTCTCAAGTGCCTGAAATTAAACGTTATTTACACTGGCGCCTACTCAGTACAGTGTACGCAACATGCAGTTCCAGCATTTGCACAAGCACGCTCACCTCCTGCTCTTTCTTGAGATCACTTTCATAATACTCTTCGCTGTCTTCGTGAGGTAAGAGAAACTAAATTATCTGCATTCATTAATTACCTTAACCCGACCGAATTACCATTCGACCCTAAAGAAATAATTATTCGACCTATAATTACCCCCGAATTACCATTCAACCCATAATAAATTTGTAAAATATAAATTTAAAATCAGGCTGACATTTTATCGGGCTGTGATCGATATTCCGAACGGCTGTCTGAAAGTACGTCAATTTCCAAAGAAAATCCTCCCGTGCGTTATATTTTTATTGCTTATACCGATGTAAAAAAGATTCAGATTAAAGAATAAACTAATCCTGTATTTTATTTGCGTGGAAAACCGTAGATCAGATCTATCGATTACGAGAATCTATCTCATCGCTCAACGCAAGACCGAAATTCGTGATATGTGAAATTTGAATTTTTGACTTGCGTAAAAAGCATAAAAAGTCAGAACACGGCCCGGTCAAGATAGATGTAAATATCAAAATAAATAATCTCGCCCAGCTTTGGCTTCGGCAAAATTTGTAAGTATAAATAGCTGGATCGTGGTTGTTATATCTGAGTGGGCCTGAGACCAGAATTATACTAAACATTGCTCACTTAATACCGGCTCCAACCCATCATCACGTACGTAGGTTCGAACTAGTATCAACTAGTTTGTGCTAAGACCTAGGTACTTAAAGTGGCAATGAAGCGTCTCAAAAAATAATTCAGAACGAATAGTGGAAACTTTATGCGATTTACTTGAAAATTGCTAGAAATTATTTCTAACGGAAATATTTTCAGGTTCAAATAATTTAATAATTTCAAGCAGTTATCTTGGTAACAAGAAGCATTTTAATGGCTAAATGTGGCAAGCATACGCCTAAATTGGGCTCAGAAATTCGATTTTAAGAATCGAGACCTTTGTTCAAAGAAGAACTTCAACGACGAATTAGAAAACAAATCCTATTGGAATAAAAGCATGAAAACATAGCAACTGTTGAACACAATACTCATCACTGAGTTGAATCAAGTTGATAAAGCTCTTCCGTAGCCAAGCAACAGGCGCGGGGAAAGACCACTTGATTTATGACACAATGTCTTCTCGATCGAGTCGCGCGTGTGAGCCTTTTTTCCAAAACTCGAAGAAATGTACATTTAAAGTGAAATAGTATAGTGGATGAATCCTTTAAAACTGGAACGCTAAGTATAAATCACCGTCAAATCAACTAATTCGTTATCACTTTAACGTCTTATATACGTGTGCGTATACAAGACGCATATAAGAAAATGCTAAAAATACGAAACGTTCATATAAAATGCTACGTATATAAGAGCTACGTATAATACGTATATAAGAAAATGCTAAAAATATTCAGACTCAACGGGAACGGGCCGCTTATCAGATTTAAAACATCAACAGCATTTATGAAGATATCAATAATCAATGGCGCTCACAGCTTAGGGTACGCACACAGTGAAAGCAGGTTTGCCCGTGCGGGCAACCTGCTCCAACCTGCCACAAGAATGAACATATGATAATACTGTAAGGGTCACAGTGAAAACCTGTTCGAATAGGCCAGCGCCAGGCCTATTTATTTCAATTTCAGGCGTCAGCCTCGCAGCAGGTAACCAGCACGCTGGCAACCTGCTTTCACTAGCTGTGTGGGTACCCTTAGGTTGTAGTTGACCATGGAAGTAGTTCATCAATTGAATTTATCAAGATAAGAATAGATATTAATGGTACTGACCAGCCTTAGGTTTTAGTTGACCAGGGAAGTTGTTTATAAATTGATCTTATTAAGAACAGATAATAATGGTACTGACCAGTCATTGGTACTCACCAGCCTCAAGTTGTAGTTGAACATGGGAGTAGTTCATCGGTCATCGTATTGTAACCGTTGCAAATTCTGAAGCCAAACACTTCAAAATTCCTGACGTTGATCCCTGCACGAGAAGCGACACATATAGTAATCAACTTTGAATTCGAAAGCAAAAAAAACGCGAATCCAATCTACCTAATCTCACAAAAAAAATTCTCATAGCAAATTCAACAAAAGTTCAAAACATCAAAAATAGAAGTGTTAGCAATAGAAAAAATGTCAACATCACTGTAAAATTTTTGGCTAATGAAATAGAAGTTAACATTTTAGCCTGCTGACCAAAATATGTTGATTCAGTACAATAAAAAATTCAAATTTTTAACAATAATACAACTGTAACAAGCAGTAAAGTAGTCTAATTGGATCACACAAGTTCTTCCGACAACCTTGTGAAGCATGCGAATTGAATTTTCAACTAATTTTATGCTAAATCGTTCTCAGTTTGCAACAACCTGTTATCCGCGAAATTGAGTTAGCTTTATTTACATGCAATTGTCGTATCTCCTGAATTTGCTTAGCTTTGCCTAACAATAGCCCACTTCGAGTGGAGCAGCAGGTGTAGGTTAGTAATTGTTCATAAGCACGATAAATTAATTTTTTAATTATATTTATTTATAATAGCTTTATAAATGTGAGCTGAACATGGAATATTCATGAAGAAAAATCTTTCTTACCAGAAAGGCGTATCAATAAATAAACAAAGTTAGTGTAAGAAGAAGGCTTATTATAATTCATAACGACAATTGAGATAATTGATCCTATGCTGAATTGCAAGAATTAAGGCTTATTATATCGTAACGACAATTGAGATAATTGAAAATTTATCCTAATTATCAATATAGTGCAATGCTATTGATACACGATTTCATGGCGCTTTTTTTATAAAACTTTGTTGTCCATCTAGTAGCGAAATGATTTAATTTGCAGACACCAAATAAACAATTAGTGGGCATCATGCAGGGTAATAAAATATTCAAGTTTCTCGCATCTTCAAGATTCGAAGCATTCGAACCAAAAAAACAAATGCCGCATTGAGATTATTAAAATTAAGCATACCCAATTAGCTTTTATTGTAGCGCCGCGTGCACTTTTCAGAAGCCTGACAAAGACTCCTAACTTGCAATAATATTACGGTACGGTGTGAGTCAAGCGAAACATTAACAGTAGTAAATTATCATCGTTAAGGGTCGAGAGTAACAATGTGTTATATTTCGCACTTGTCACAGTCTAAGACAGCATACAATGCAATACAGGGCCTACTAACTCCATCGTAATTAAGGGAAACGAACTTCCATTAATCCATTATCACCGACAGCCTCCATGAAACACAATTCAAATTACTGCTATTTGGCGATAACTCACGGTTAACCAAAACTTAACAACCGTAACCAAACTCTGGTGAAGTTCGCGAGGTAATATCGTATACATCTTGACCATTTTCAAAGCTCGAGGAAAAGCAGTATTTATGGCTCGCTACACTTGGGGCTATACAATACGAAATACTAGAGTGAAGCAGTAATCCGAATCTGCAAAGGCCACTGCATAGCACATTCGAGTTTACTTAGTGTGTTGTAGTAATCTCACTCAGCTAATCAAGTAACCCAAAAATATGCCAAGGTTCACAACGAACGCAATTTGGGAAATCGGCTGCCGAATATAACCCCTGAATAAATCGTGCGGTCCTGTAAATATTATTAGCTGAATATAATTCTATCTGGAAGACGTCCAGCACTAACCAGTGACCGACGGCGTCACTCTACTGTCAGCTCACGCACTGCAAGATTAATGAAAGTATACATGAACCTAACTTGCATGCACACTGAGAGATGCTCTCCGAAATTTCGTAAAACCACGTTTTGAGGTTAAGATATCACGAATTATAATTATTAAAATCCGTAAATTAATGCAAGATATATGGTTTTCACAGAGGCAAAAATTCACCTAGAAATAAAAGCCTAACGAGAAAATTTGAACTCGCGACATTTTATATTTCACATTTTTTTTAGGTTCATTTGGTAACAAAATTTTGATGACCTGATAAAATCAGGAAGTCCCAATTTCTTGAAGCCCATGGACGCCTCACTCATTAATATAAAGTAGCAGACTAGCAGCCACTGCGATTTTCATTCTTTTTATCTCGCTTGAATTTCGAGGAGAAAAAGTGGGAAAGTATTCTCCTCCCGGTATCGAGGTCCGACGATATACTGTGCGACCGGCCTAAAATTCAACTCGATACCTAAAATTGCAAGTTAAATTGTAAAGTAAGTTCGAATGCAATTCATCTTTAACCTAAAAACAATTCATATCCTTTATTGGGAGGTTAGGCAATCGGCAGAACCATCAACTTTAACGACTAAATAATAAGAAAATTATCAAAAGAAATCTCTGAAATTATGTGAAAATGTGCTCCCTGGTGAGGGTTGGAACACCGGATTTGCATGCATTAACGGGAAATCGTAAATTCTAGTACACAGCACAAAATTGCAGAACAATTTCGGAATCTTTTTCATGAAATTTGAAAGGTATATATGAATTCTATATTTAAGAATTAGGTTGACTTACAAATTCACTCCCGTACCGTGAATTTAGTTCATGCTGCTTGAAATTTGTCACCATGGTTGAACTATACAACGTTGGCCCACGAGGATTTCCGACTTTCAGGTCAGCTCTCTTGTTACGTCACTGAGAGCAAGAAACGTAAACAATCTCGTCATTCCCATGACGAATAGGTTGACAGGTCTGATCACATTTTGGTGATTGGTTAATGTCCGTGATGTCACTGAGATCAGTGACGTCACAGGCGAACAACGAACTACATCCGCAAAAATGAGCTTCTCATGGGTCAATGGTTGTCACTTCCTGCAGTAGGCTATGCCGGCCTTGAGGCTTGCGGTCCGTAGATCAAACGCAATACTATGTCTATATGCACGCCTAACTACACGGTTTGCTCATCTCTTGCTTTCAGCAGCTAATTTCGCAACACAGCAGTTTTAGTACCAGGCTCACTCTTCTTAACGCGCTTGCCCAATGTATTTTTCTTTGCCCAGAGTACATTTTTCACTCAAGGAGACACACAGCAACCAGACTAGGGAAAAATAGCTTATGTTGGCTTACCGTGCATGGCGGTTGGCTGTAGAACTACGTAGAGACCAACGATCGTAGCACTGAACGCCTCTTTGAGACGTGAAATGTGTAGAAGTGAGCCTAGGTCAGTCTTGACTCTTGAAAGTCATTTCCACAACATCTAGTCGCTGAATAAATTCACAACACCTTGATTCTATTTCAGTTTTATCGCGAATTTGTGTATTCACCACTAAAACGATGTTAAAGTTATTAATCACTTTTAAGAACCCACTACACAGCGAGAGTTGAAATTTTCACATTAATTTGTCACACACTTTCACGCACAACTACCAAGTCTTGATCATTACTGACAACGGCGAGACGAATCCTGAAGAAATTCTTTTTCTGTATCGTCGTTCCATGAAAGATGTTTAAGAACCGGAACACCGCGTGAGAAGAGTAAACAGAACACAAGCGTTGTTGATCCACAACAAAGTTCGTTAGTTAGAGTTCAAATATAAAGTATCATTATTTCTTATGATTAAAAGATTGTTAGAGATCAAATATAAACAATCATTCTTTCATAAAAGAATCTTTCTACCCACATTTCTCGCATTTTCCTTGAGCAATAAGATTTTTTACAATACACGTAGATAATATATATTATATATACATCAATATATGTGTACAATACACGTAGATAATATATATGTATAATCAAACATAATTTCCGATAATAACAATCTGCGATACGATATCCTTATTGAAGAAATTGATTTCAACAAGCATTAACACGGAATTGCATTGTGTATCCCTCCTATTCAATCAATTCCTATTATTTCAATAAGCATCAAGTGTGTGAGCTAAAAATGGATGCACATTAAATGCTGCCTTGCTCTGATCATAGAGACGACTGCTTAGCAAGGTACCTATATGAATGCAAATGAGAAAACCGTTCCTATAACAATAGCTAATCATCCTCCTTCAAAAAGATTCACTACCATGCATGAATTAGAACGCCAATTAGATTACCTACTTCAACACAACTGCCTGTAATATTCCTTATTTCAGTAATTACTCGTCTGGCAAAGCAGCGCACTGAAATAATTGCAAGTAATTTGAATTAAGGATACCTTAAGTTCTTTATCATTTGAACATGATCCTTGAATATTTCATGTTTATGTTCGTTAATAATTTTATACTGTAATTGATTCTATGAATCATTGGATTATATTTGTTGAATTTTAACCAGACAAACGTCAGGATTTTGCGTGCCTAGCACGTGTCATGATTTTCTTGCTACACGTTCGCCGTTACATTTTTTAAATGGAGTTAATTAAAGAACTCCTTTGGATCTGCGGTTCGAATTTTCTGTAAGTATGCTTGCCACTGAGCGCCGAACCTAACCTCGCTTCTATTTAAGCATTCTTTTTTTTTTATTCATTTCATTCTAAATTAAAAGTTTATTTATCTTTCAACAGGTATGGTCCAGACGCTGATGCTAAGTATCATCCGTACAGTCCAGAATTGCACCGCAGTAATGACAGTCACATGGATGCTGAACATCATCCAGAAGCATCTGGTACAGCGCATCATCCTGTTTACGGATGTAAGGATCTGCCTCCATGAAATCTTTGCTATGCGGGAAGATTTGTGTTGAAATTCGAGCTCTGATTGTCATTTTCGCTACCTCGAGGGAACTTTTGCGTACAAGAAATCGAATAAGCCGTGAAATAATTTTCGTGCATGGTTTTTACGAGCATCGTTTAAACTTGGGATCCATGTTTTCTTGCAAAGCAAGAACTCACTATCATACACGTACTTCAAATAAAGGAAACCCTCCAACGGATTCTATTTGAATAAACATTTACACATTGAAATAGGCAGTCAAAAAACTATTTATTCCTCATTCATCAGCTTTCGAAACTTACACGCGAATGGCGTTGAAATATCGTCAATTACAAGTTAATTTCGTAGCAACAACGGTTAGTCAAAGTTAGCGACGTCAGAAGCCTGATGAGAAGGAATTTAATAAATAATTTCTCGTGTTAAATAATATGTTGTTTCAGTCTTCCAGGACGTGCACGTGATGATCTTCATCGGCTTCGGCTTCCTGATGACGTTCCTGAAGAAGTATGGCCTCAGTGCCGTGGGCCTCAACTTCATGGTGGCTGCCGTGGCCATCCAGTGGGCCATCCTCGTTAACGGTTTCTTCCACCTACACGACGGACTCATCTTCGTCGATATCAACTCGTACGGAATTCATTGTATTGTTGAGTGATATTTCTACATTCATTTAAATGGATGATTCTACCATGGTTTCATTTAGAATTTTAGATGAATGAAATTTATGGATATCAAAGCGTGACATAGCTTTTTTTTAGAGCTTTTCATTTTACTCATCACTTTTTATCAAGCATTTCCCAAAAAATAGGCGCGCCCCACTGTAAGGGAACGGTAAAATAAAAGTGGGACTTTGAAGATAATTAAAATGTTGAGAATATAGAACATTATTTGTATTGGAATATAGAATATTATGTGTATTGTGACGAAGTGTTTAGTGAGGCTCGAAAATCACTCGCTTGTTAATATTAAACACTATTTTAACGTTATTTAAATTGAAATTGTTCAATTTCGCAGTCTCATGAGTGCGGATTTCGTGGCTGCGACGGTCCTGATCAGCTTCGGGGCCCTGATAGGCAAGACGACGCCGACGCAGCTCATACTGCTCACCGTCATTGAGATCCCAATCTTCACGATCAATGAGGTCATTGGGAGGAAATATTTCGGAGTAAGTAAAAGTGTTTAACATTAACTAACTTTAACTTTGAACTTTAATTATTATAACTCCAATTTGTTCAATGTTGATTAAAACTTCTTGAAGAATTTTGATGTTAGACATCTGAAATGAGGTTATAAATTTTTGAATTGTAATTGGTGAGTTAGTTTGCTGAAATGGCTTTAGAACACAGATAGCAAACAATCATGCAATGTATGTGGAATTCTCGAAACCAACCAGATTTTATGTAAAATTAGAATTCTGTGTTCTTTTTACCATAATACTTTTTATTGCAACAACTTGAAAATATTTTTAAAACGAAATACTAGCAAAAGTCATCCTGATTTTAATATTCATGTAAATACGAAGGCAAATCTTGGTTGTCAATTTAGCGCATGCTCAAAGCTTGCCTACGCCGTGTACCAGTTTTGTGACATAAAATAATGTCTTTACCTGCTTTTACTTAATCCTAAATTGATTAATCTTAATTTTTCAGCGATAAAACTGCACTCTGATCCATAGTCATTTTCCTTATAAATTAGCATGAAGCTCAATTGTCTGCGTTGGCCATTCAAACTTGATTTAAGATCACTGACGTGATCTTAAATCGTTGAAGCTAAAGTTTGGACTCTTGTTTGATCCACATGATTTGCGTAACCGTCTAACAGCATGCAAATCGGAAGCACCATGACATTTTAATTAATGATTTAGCAATACTTACCGCGTAATTAATGATGATATATATAACCTTAACTAATCTCATAATCGCATCCCTTAACATCTCTAAGGCTGTCGACATGGGAGACTCGATGTTTGTACACGCGTTCGGCGCCTACTTCGGTCTCGCCGCCAGCCTCATGCTGGCTCGCGAGGACGTTTTCAGCGACAAGCAAGGCTGCAACAAAACCTCTAATGTCTTCTCCATGATTGGTGCGAGCCTAGGAATTATTTGTTCATCTGAATGCTGAGTCATGAATAAACCAGAATTTTATCAACAACAAGGCAGAAAAACTGTTACTGACTAGCGATGGGCAACGCAGTTGATGTTTATATAGGAAACGCGGGAAATTTCCTAAACTTGCTAATTCGATTTTTAGTTCAAATTATTATAATTATATTCTGGATAATCATCAAAATAGCCGATATTTAGGTATATCATTCTAGCAATTTAATGTGATTACAAACATAATTCTTAATACAAATTTAATGAAAGCAACACCTTTATGCGACTCATTCACATGAGGCACTTTAAAATACAGGCACAGCACTCATAATACACGACGTCGTACAGGCACAGCATTCATAATACACGACGTCGTACAGGCACAGCACTCATAATACACGACGTCGTACAGGCACAGTTGCTGTCTCTTATACACATCTAGATGTGTATAAGAGACAGCAGGTACAACTGCTACTAGACTACGGCCTCAGGTACAACTGCTACTAGACTACGGCCTCAGGTACAACTGCTGCTAGACTACGGCCTCAGGTACAACTGCTGCTAGACTATGGCCTCAGGTACAACTGCTGCTAGACTACGGCCTCCGGTGGGTACAACAATTGCAGATCTCGCCCAGCTACAACTTCTAAGTTCTACGATATATTTCCCTTTCAGAGATCTTCCTCTTTCAATTTGTCGAGATCGTTCCCGTTCAGTTTTTTATGAGATCTTCCGCTTTCACAGTTTGAATGAAATCTTCTCTTTTTCAGTTTATACGCAATTTTCCCTTTGACAGTTATTATGGGATCTTACCCTGTCACACTTTGTACGAGATCTTCCATTTTCACAGTTTTTATGAAATGTTTCCCTTTTTACTGTTTCTAAGGGATCTTACCCTCTCAGAGCTTTAATAAAATGTTTTCTATTTCCAAAGTTTTAATGACATGTAATATCCCGGTTTCACAGTTTGTACGAAATGTTCCCCCTGCGCGCCCCCCTCAATGGCACCCCGGAGTTCGCTGCACTCATAATACACGACGTCGTACAGACACAGCACTCATAATACACGACGTCGTACAGGCACAGCACTCATAATACATGACGTGGTACAGGCACAAAACTCATAATACACGACGTGGTACAGGCACAACACTCATAATACACGACGTGGTACAGGCACGGCACTCATAATACACGACGCTGTACAGGCACGGTATTCCTGTGGTTGTACTGGCCCTCTTTCAACGGTGGGGCGGCGACCGGAGACGACCAGCACCGAGCTGTGATCAACACATACCTCGCACTGGCTGCGTCCTGCATTGTGGCCTTCGCTGTGTCGTCTCTATCTGACCCTGACAAGAAGTTCGAGATGGTGAGTCTAATGAAGTTAAGTAAGAAACTTCAGGTAACACTGCTACAAATCTTGAAGATTTGCAGCCTCGGTAAGAAAACTTTAGGTAACACTGCTACTAATCAAAAAGATTTGCAGCTGCAGTAAGAAAACTTCAGGTAACACTGCTACAAATCATGAAGATTTGCAGCTTCAGTAAGAAAACTTCAGTTAACACTGCTACAAATCCTAAAGATTTTAAAATAAAAGGCCGCTAAAGCGAATACTATTTAAGGTAGGAGTTATTTAAGGACAGAGTACTTCTAGTAAAACTTTAGGAAATACTGCTGGAAGGCGCATTTTCTTCGGCATAACTCCTGGTGTAAGAAAAATTCTTATAACTCATATACAAATGATAGATCTAGAAAATAAATTTATAGCCGAACCTAATATAGTTGTCAAATGAAAAAATTCTTCACTGCATGATCGGTTATCTAAATAATGGAGCATGGAAATTGTTGCACGTGTTCCAGCGTTGACAAAATCGCTGGGTGTCTTGCTCGTAGGTATGGCGCTCGATGGAGAAAACAGAAAATTTTAAAATTAAATGCTGGAACTTCACAAAAAAAATTTGCACATTAATTCAAGAAAAATTAAAAAGATATCAAACCGAGCACTACAATTTAGCAGAATATGAAATTAAAGAAAAGTTCCCATGCTACATTATCTTTTAAGGATTAATGCAATTTTTCGCTTTTTCTTGAGGTTACGCCAGGAACTCGTTGCTCTGTTTGGAATCCATAAATAATTTCTACAAAGCGCAATCCTTTACTCTGAATAAACAAAGTTTTTGTGTTCAGGAACACATCCAGAACAGCACACTGGCGGGAGGTGTAGCCATTGGCACGTCGGCCGACATGATGGCACAGCCCTTCGGTGCCCTCATCATCGGCTCCATCGCCGGCATCGTCTCGGTCGTCGGATACCACCATCTTTCTGTTAGTGTCTGTAATTTTATTCATCAGCCACCACCATCTTTCTGTTAGTGTCTGTAATCTTATTTATCAGCCGCCACCATCTTTCTTTCAGTGCCTGTAATCTTATTTATCAGCCGCCACCATCTTTCTGTTGGCACCTGTAATCTTATTTATCAGCCGCCACCATCTTTCTGTTGGCACCTGTAATCTATATCCCGGTTTCACAGTTTGTACGAAATGTTCCCCCTGCGCGCCCCCCTCAATGGCACCCCGGAGTTCGCAAGACTCCAGCGCGCGATGCCCGACCTGGAGCCTGGCGACGGCCGCTCAGCGGCCATACAAGCGTCCTTCCAGCTCCTGGCGCTCGTGGTCACCCTTGTCATCAGCGTCGTGGGGGGACTAGTGACTGGTGCGTTTTAAATACCCATGTTGGAATGAGAATGCGTTTTTTAAGATTATAAGAGAGAATATTCCGGGATGTTGTTAAGAACTCGTGTATTAATTTTACTTGAATTAAAACGTTCATAATCTCCTAGTTATAGGGCTAGCTGGAAATTTTGAAGCGATGATGGCTCGCCACGCCACTATAACAATTTTTCGGACACGCATTTTTAAGCTAAAGTGAAACTAGCACAATTAACGTATCATTTAATCATTAATTTTACTAATAGTTCATATCTTGCATTTCACTATCCACAAACTTAAGTATGTTGTTCACATTCATCTCAGGTCTGATCTTGCGGTTGCCGATGCTGAATATTCTTGAAGCCGACGACCTCTTCGATGACGAACCCTTCTTTATAACCGAGCCAGAAGAAGAAGAGCACCGAACAGCTGCCCACCCGGCGGTCAACAAAGTCGGACCCTGAATGTAGCGCTTCCTGGAACACATCAATTTTCATGCCAGCTGATAAATTGTCAAGCCTGCTGATCGACAGAAATAAGGGAAAAGAGAATTCAAAATTAGAAATTAGTTTCTAAGTTAGTGACGTATATAGTGCCTAAGAAATTTCAGGAAGCGAGTTTCAACAATGAAAAGCACGCAATTTGAAGTCTCGAATGAATGCACTCTCGCTATTAGGGGACTTCGAATGAATGCAATCAAAATTACGAGAACTAAAATTACAGTACGCTTTCTTGCAGCAAATTTTTTTCAGAATTAATTTTGGTCATCAGAGAGTTTTGCAGAGACGTTTTTATTCCTTGCCAAGCTTTTTAAGAAATCAAACAAACAAGGCTATTAAATAAGGCATATAACCATAATAATAAAAAATATTCGGCATGATACTTACAAAAATAGGCTTACACATTTCCTATTTGAACGTAGATTAAATTAATTGAAATTATAAGGATAAGAGATAAGAATTTATAAGTCTGAATATAATTTGAGCACAGAAATGTTTCGATAATTCACGAACGGCTTCGTAAAGTAAACCGTGAATCACAGTATAAAATAAGTCAAGTGTGTTAGGTGTGTCGGGTTAGTGAATGCTTCGGAATTTTGATTTGTCAGATATTTCGTGCTTAATTAAAATGATTAAATGGATGAAAAATGCCTTTGTTATGGGAGCTCAAACTTTATTTGCCTCAGAGCAAGAGTGATTGAAATGCTTTCATAGACTTAATTGCAAAATAATCTCGTGTGTTTCACATGGAATTTCAAATTACAAAAGAAAACCTTGTCATAAATGGAAGGGAGACTTTTGCATTTAAAACAAACGAATAAAAATCCCTAAAATTTAATAAACTTTTTAATCATAAGGAGTAAAAAAATAAAAAAAGTGCCTGAAACTATCTCAGAGAATGTATATAGCAATAACTCTAAAAGCCTGAATAATGTACAGAATGAAAGAGTCCATTGAAAATAAATGCAATAAATTCGAGACAGGATATACACAGGAAAAAAAAATTTCAAAATATTCTCATTTATAATACAATAATTGATAGAAAAAATAGAACACTTCAGTCTTACACTGAGAACGGTTTGCATAATCTCTTTTATTTAACATTAAAGTTGAACCCCAGTATTATTTTTGAGAAAGATACATTCAATTAGTCGATGATGTAAATTATATTTCAGACGACTCTAGTCGTTTTACTAACTCTGCACAGCCCAAAATTAAACTTTAATGGTAATTTTTTTCAACCCAAGATGTTTCAGGAAGTCAAAAAGAAAAACAGTACAATAAAACCAATCAAATGAACACGCTTAGTTAAACACAAAAAAATCACAATGAGTTCCACAATGGAACTAAAGAAGTAACCCTATTGATAAACAAGACAACACTAACGTATCAATGCAAGAACACTATCACAAAACTTGTTTTGAGCAAAGATCCCAGAAAAAAAAATAATAATAAAATAAAAATCTGGATGGTTAAAAACAGCGAGATGAGAGCAGTGAGCTGCGGGTTCGAGACAGAGGTAAACTGTGAACATTATACAATGTCTTGAATAGACGAAATTCCAATATGGCCTAATCCTCAATACACACTCACATTATTATATCACATGAGGTCAAATTAAAACAAATCCTTTGACAATAATAAACAAATTTTTATTTACAGCTCTATTTTCGTGTTACGAACAAAATGGCGTTCACGATTTGAAATTAAGGAACTAGAGCAAAAACAAAACGTCAATCAAATTTACAACAAAATGTTGCAACAATGATCGAAAATGGTTTGCAAATTTCAAAGAAGTAGAGATATTTGCCAGTGTAGATTTGCCCAAAGCAGTAGACCACTTTAGCAACAAGTTTATAAAGTTCTATACAGTTGACCCAACCTAGTTAACAAAGTGTATTCAATTTTTTTTTAATTAATTCAAAATTTCATAATTTTTCTATTGTTGATTGGATTTCCGTATTGAAATTAAACACAAAATTAGTATAGTAACTGGTAACTGACAATAATTTCGGTCTTATTTTAATTCAAACCCGTTCGAAAAATGCATCAACATTAAGTAAGAACTAAAGAGGAGATCTGTTTGCTCCATCCCTTTAAAACACGTAGTATAATAGGCATAATCAGAAGGAGCTTTTAAAACAAATTAGTTATGCTTGCAACTACACAATCCGTCTATTGACTCTATTCTGGTCTCAAGATTAAGTAGTGTATAAAATATTCATTATCATAGAGAACTCTTACAAAAAATAGGTAATGCTGGGAACTATAAAATCATTAAACTGAAAGACTGCGTCTGCTACCTTTAAACCGCAAGCAAACTCAGCGGAACTGATGGCACAAAATTTGTATGCAAGTGTTATTGAAAAAGTAAATTCTCTCTGAAGTACAGACAGTTGAGAACGTCGCACTTAGCGATTTGGGTTGAGGTCATACGAAAAATTATTGATTTTAAAAAATACGATAACGATGCTTCCAAAATACGATTGCAACCGAAAGGAAACGAAAGAAGAGACGGGTCCGATTTCATCCGTCAAATAGCAGGTAATTAGAACGAAACAACGCAGTTTCGGTTTTTAAAATAAACAAACTATATAACTCAGCCAAAACTTTTAAAATTTACACAAGGCAATTATTGTCCTTTATTCGCGAAGGAATGCGTACGTTATTATTTAGATTGCCGATAAAAGGCGAAAAATATGCATTTCTACTTCAACTGAATAAGGCATAGAACCTCTATACCAGAAGTAACATTGATTGAAAACGACTTGTCACAGATTAAATATTTAATAAATGGCAGAGATTTTAGAAATAAATTCGTATCGCTAATTGATATGACAAAGGTTTTCAAAACATAACACAAACGGGAAATTCTGCATGGTACACAAGATTCATAACATAAGAATTATACATGGTATGTGAACCTGACTATATGGAATGACACTTGATATACACGAATATATAAAAACAACAAACAACAAAGCCTCAAACTGATGAATCCAATAGCTGAGTAGCTCTCTGAATCCAAGTTAGAAATGTTGTGAACCAAATATAATGTTAATTTGATAATAGATTACAGGGAAACTGTTTCTTTAAATCAGGACATTGAACAGTAAATATTGGAAGGCCAGTAATAGATCTCTAACATTTATTTGTACACTGGAATATGTCAGGACATCGAAGGGAAAGTTTATTGTACACACCATTCACGATAATCTTTTGCTTTTGTTGGCAAGCGAATGGAAACTATAGGGAGAATACAAGCTCTTTAAAAAGAGAGTTCAGCATGTAATGTATATGCCATTTCATTGCACGATGGTGTGCGTAACACAGTTGACTGACCAACGAATTTCCCCTCAATCACTAGTATTTGACAGTCGTCTTAGACTAACCTATGAGATTGCCTTCAAATCAAAACTCCTACACAATATTTCCATAAGAAACATAAAAAAGCATTCAAACGAAAATAGTTCGTTGATTTCCATCAATTGAAACCACCTCAAATCGCTATTTCAATAACAAAATATTTCCATCATGCAAAAAAGTTACACCAGATATATTTTTCATACTCAAACATCAAATAGAAAGATGTGCATGGTTTACTTAGATGAAAATCACATTCAAAGAATCATTGCGAAGGCATTTCATCATCTCTCATCAGCGGACACGCACGCCCATCGGCCGAGCAGCTTCTCTTTCTTCTCTATTTTCTTGAGGTGGTAGGTGACACCGGGGCCTGCCTGGAACACCACGTCGTGTCTGCCGCCCTCGACCAGCGTCTGGCGGAGGGCGGCCACCGCCGGGTACGGGATGCTTCTTGTGTCCAGAAGAAGAGACGAGGCGCTCAGCTTGTCACGTAACGCCTGAGGAGCAATTCAGTTAGTGTGGATGTTTCAAATTGGAATTATTGCTGTGGTCGTAATTTATACGAGTTTATACGAGAGCCTGAGGTTTCAACATCGGATTAGAGCTATGGTCGGAAGCAATACGAGAGCCTAAGTTCTACGATGGATTTGCCTGAGGAGGAACTCAGTTAGGGTGGATATTTCAACATTGAATCATTGCTCAGGTCGGAAGCTATACGAGAGCCTTAGTTCTACGATGAATTCATCTGAAGAGCAATTCAGTTCGAGTGGATGTTTCAACATCGAATTATTGCTATGTTTTTAAGTTATACGAGAGACTTTGTTCTGCGATGGATTTGCTGAAGAGAAACTCAGTTCGGTGGGATGTATCAACATCGAATTATTGCTATAGTTGTAAGTTATACGAGAGCCTGAGTTCTACGATCGGTTAAAGTTCTATGGCTATCGTATATCTTACAATGGTCGTAAGTTATACGACGGTCGTGGGTTCTAAAAGAGCTCAGATTACAAGACCTGTTTTTACCACTCTTGTCAATACAGTATATTGTCTGGCCCATCCTGTATATATATATCACCCTGTCTATACACACACAAAGTATGTTGCCAACACCACGCTTGTCCACACAGACATACATACTGTGTTGATATAGTCTTTTTAGGAAATGACGTCAATCCTGAGCTCAACGGTCAAAGCTGTTGGCAAACTAATTTTATTTCGAACGAAATAAATGTCTTGGAGAAGTCGATAATGTAATACCTCAGTGCAGTCCAAAAGCACCGAGAACTAAAAATAATACCAAATCAAAGATCACCGGCCAAGAAAAACTATGTGAGAAATAAGCACCCATGCACTAGTCAGTGAACACGTAACAGCAGAGGGTACAAGGGGAAAAGTGAGTGTATAGTGAGGCACATTGGTTATTTATAAGAGAATGAGTAGGAAGCTACAATTAATTACCATTACTAGCAAACAAGTATTAAAAAATGTGAGCCCTGGCTGAATCAGGGCAAACAAAATGATTAATGGTTTCAGTAAATAATTAAAACTCAGGTACAAAATTTTATGCGTCGTACAGAACAAACAGTAAAAATAAAAATATAACTCAGTACTTACTACAGTGAGTGACAGAGAGCGCATTTTCTCGTCGACGAAAACTTGAGGTCACGGACGGACGGATGGACAGACGGGCAGACAGACGGACATGGCGCGCACAATAGTGCATTTTTTCCATAAATGAGAAAATGCGCTAAAAATGAACTAACCTATTAGGTAGAAATGCATCACTGAACAAACAGTCGAGAGAAATGAACTCACCTTGGCAAAGGCAGTGGCCTGGGCGGTCGTTAAAGCCATTCCACTGATGGAGAGGTGGACCAAGTGATGAAGGTTTGTGATGAGTGTTGAGAGGAGAAGATGTTCAGCCTCACCACAGCTACTGGCACCACGGCCTCCACCACGCACCACCACACCATTCACCACCACCTCTCGTAGGCCACTGGTTTTCAACGATCGTCCACACGCTTGCAAAACCTGACCAAAAAAAATACCTTAACACAAATGTTTTGTTTCAATTTCCTTAATGCTTGATCAATTTCCTTAATGCTTGACATGCTTCATCTAGGGGAAAATGTACATGCTCAACAAATATTCATTAAGGTAATGTATGCAATTATCAAAAATCATATTAACAACATGAGTTTCCCCGAAAAAATACGGAAGAACAAATGCTCAATATTCGAAAATTTCAAATAAAGTTTGAAGTGAAAACATTCATTAAGAAGCTTTTTTTTATCGAGGTTAAGGTAGAGATGTCCACTTTCAAGCTAAACAATGAGATGAAAACAAGTCTGACCTTAGAACAGTTCTCCAGCGAGAAGCTCCATCCGGTCATGTTAATCCTCTTGAGTGAGGGGAAGGAAGAAGCTATCATGGCAAAAAGGGCTTTGGTGTTGGCATCCTGCATCCCGGGACCTTGTGGGGACAGTGGGTCATGGTGGGGGGACATGGGGAGCGTGGCCCCCGTGGGAACATGAGGGGAATGATGTCTCAGAAGAGTGTTCGAGAGAGGGGAGTTGAGGGTATTAGAGAGGGGCGAGTTGAGAGTGTTGGAGAGGTCCGTGTTCAAGGAGTCACCCTTGGCCGTCGAAGACGACATCACTGCCAAGGAAAGGTCCAGTAGACGAGGTAGAGAACGCAGCAGAGGGATAAGGTATGGCCCTCGTACCACAAGGCTGCTGTTCACGTTCAACTGGAACAAAACACCAATATACTATTTGTACCTTAACTATTTTTATTAAATTACATTTGTTGCATTAGCTGAACACAATGGAACAGCAACCTCCATTTCAAAATAGACCACCATCTTCCATATCAGCCTTACATTACTGTGAAAAATCAAATCAGTAAGTAATATTCGTAAACTGAGCTGAATAGACACATAGACCACTGACTGTTGTAATATTCTTAGTATGTGGCGTTCAGTAATATACACAGTTATATGAAACCAAATGTGTACCGATTACAGCCTATTCCGTTGTAATGAAAAGCGAAAAAGAACAAGTGTTTCGAACTTGACGTAGTCCATTTATTTAACAGAAAAAGAAGTACGGACTTTGAAGTGACACATTTCATTGAAATCGTAAGACTGCCGTGTACCGACCAAGAATAGAAATCGCGCCCAGAGGTTAAAGTTCAGAGTACCAAGATTAGAGCAGAGAGGCGTGGGTTCGATCCCAGCTCTGTGCGCCAGTTTCTGGTCAGAATCGGCGAGGAGGCCGGGCGGTTTAAGCAAAGAAAATTTGAAACAATTATTTGCGATTTCGAGACCGCAACAAGCTGTGAATGTTCAGCTATGTTAAGAATCGGCGACAGGCCTACGGCCTAATAAACGCTGGAACCGCTATATATAAAAGATTTATTGTACCGACCTCGACGTGGTCCATGTTGAGGAATGCGATGGTATCGTTGGCAAGGGGCGGGACAGCATCAGTAAGAGTGCCCAGGAGGTCGTCCTGTCTACCGAGACGCGCCAAGGGTCCCTCAGGGACGGTGACGGAGACACGCACGCCTGCGAGCTCCAGGTGCTGAACTTGCGTCACTGACAGGAAGTACGCGAGCGCTGCCAGCGACCGTTCGTTCTGTGGACCAAAAATTAATATTATAATTATAATGATCTATGAATAATGAAATACCAAATTTATTAATAGAAGTCTAGTGAGTAATTTTTGTGCCCGAATAATCAATAATAATATACCGTAATTGTAATAATTATTATTTTTCTTGAATAATAAAATAGAACATTTATGATTAAAAAATTCAGTGAGTAGTTGATTTGAGAATCAGGTACTCACTCCTGCAGCTTTTACGTCCAGTTAATTGACCTTTAAATGTGCTGACACCATTCCAAACCATTTCTTTATGACATCATTCAAATACAAAAATGTTAAGACGAAAAACGCGTTAATCTAAGGTATGCTTGTATGACAGCTTACGACTGTAAAATAGAAATAGCATTTTTATTGTAACAAAAAATAAATGGTACGGAAGTTCTATTTATTGCCTTCACGGGATGCTTCAAATTAAGCAAAATTATTACAAGTAATAACATACAAACATTCTAATCAAAGCCAACACTATAAAACCCTACAAGACAACGAGCCTACTCAAAAACTAAAACCATTGTGAAAAAATTGATTGATTTAACCACTAACCAAATTTACATCGATTTTGGCATCAAAATAAATCCACTGCATCTTCATTGGTCAATATAATTCTAAGATTTTACCATGAAATAGTCCAAATTTTCAATGATTCTATGAGATTTTCAATAATTTTAATGAAAAAAAAAGTTTTCACCTCGAGCTGGAAGGTCCAGCCGCTGAGCACAAGGAACCTGAGCGGCGCACAGCGGCCGAGAGCTGCGAGCGCAACCTGCAGGGCAGCGTCACCCAGCAGCAGGTGCGGCGACGACAGGTCCAGTAGCTGTAGGCTGCTGCTGGACTGCAGGCAGACGCAGGTTATGAATACAGGTGCTACAACACAAAATTATTAGTCCTATGAGGACAGGGATGATCTCAGCCATCCTGCTGAGGCCCTCCATGTGCAAGGAAGTGAGGCACGTGGTGTAGCGAACGGTCTCCCCGAGGCAGACGAGGTCCTCCGCCCCGAGGGTACATTTACTCAGGTCCACCTGACACACTCGGCAGTCGGGGGCACGCAGCACCTGCAGAACCTGCAACCACAACAGATGCTTAGCTCCTTAGGCGATACTCAAATCACTAGTTTCCAAAATAAAACTTTAAGTTTTCCAAATAACACGTTGGGTTTCAAAATAAAGACGTCGGGCTTAGCAATTGACACTTATGATATCCAAAGCAACATGCGAGGTTTCCCAAGTAACGCTTGGGATTTAACAAGTAACACGTCAGGTTTACCCAGTAACCCTTCTAATTTCTCAATGAACATGTTGGATTTCCCAAGTAACACGTCAGGTTAACCAAGTAACCTTTCTAATTTCTCAAGTAGCACGTTGGGTTTGCAAAGGAATGTATCAGGATTACCAAGTAACCTTTCTAATTTCACAAGTAGCACGTTGGGTTTCCAAAGGAATGTGTAAGGATTACCAAGTAACCTTTCTAATTTCTCAAGTAGCACGTTGAGTTTCCCAAGTAATGTGTCAGGATTACCAAGTAACCTTTCTAATTTCACAAGTAGCACGTTGGGTTTCCAAAGGAATGTGTCAGGATTACCAAGTAACCCTTCTAATTTCTGAAGTAACACGTCGGGTTTTCCAAGAAACGCGTCAGGTTTAGCAAGTCACACTTTCTGTTTCCCAAGTAACATATATTGTACAATGTTAACATAAATTATAATGTAATACTAGTTGATCGCACCTCATGAAAGCCGTTGTCATGAAGCTCAGCGGAACACGCGGGAGGAGGGAAAGAAGTTTTCTGGATGAGCACCGACGATGTTTCGGTGGAACGTTTATCGCCTGCTACGTATCCGTTAAGCCGCGCCCTCCTAGGCAGCGACTGGTAAAACGACCGCGGTAAAGAATTAAAAACGGACCTTCGGTTGCCCTCGGCGTCCGTGAACGACCAAAACGCGAGGAGAGAAGGGCTGGGGGAATATAATATTGACGGTGGTCTTTGAGCCGTAGATTTACGATATCCACTTCTCGGGTTATCCCGTTGCAAGGTCGTGGATACAAGATCTGTAGAATTAAATTTCGCATGAGCAGGTTTTGGTGGCGCCTGAGTGGACGGCTTAGGCAAGGTCTTCGACTCGAGAGTTTTTGGAAGTTCGTTCTCATCCGTAGAAGACGATGCTGGTCGTACATCAGAATCCGCGGCTGAGACGCGCGATGGCTTTTGGACATCTGTCGTAAGTTTCTTGCCAAATTTCGCTTTGAAAGGATCTTCATCAGTGGACGGAGAAGGGGAATTACCACCTGTCAAGGAGGTTTCATTTTCATGTAAAAGTTACAATGCCCGATAAAATACTAAGAGCTCACTTGTATCAGTAAGATAACAATTAATTTCTGATGAGATTCAAACGCACGAACAGAATGAGCAAAACTTACGATTCCATCTTCGTGCGATAAAAATTATTTTAACTAGCAGAATGCATCTTATGGACATTAAAAATTAGATTTTAGAACAGCCAATTATTGTCAGATCTCATCTTTCAGATGTTAATGGTTATATTTCAGTTCAAGAAAATATTACACATTGTCAAATCGCCTTTCTAGACATACGTATTTTGTCCTTTTATTGGACAAAATTTTGTTCTTTTTGAAAAAAATTTAAATTGAGGTAAAAAGTCTGGACAGACCTGTTCAGCGTTGAGCTCGAGAGCGAATAGATATTAGCGGTTACATTTCAGTACAAAACAATTTTATACATTGTCAGGTCGCATTTTTGGACATTAAAATTAAAATTCAGGTAAAAAGTCAGGACACACCTGTTCAGCATTGAGCTCGAGAGCTAGCACCAGCCTGTTGAGGGAGGGCGAGAGGTCGGGCAGAGTATCACAGATCATCTCCACGACGGGATTTAACACCTCGATCGTCCGACGAGCTGACGACCGCGCTGCCTCGTCCACAACTTTTTTACTGGCGTGAGCGGAAAAATTATCGACGAGCGCGTTCTCGCACTCATCGTCTAGTAACGAAATGTTCTTAGACGTTTCCTCGTCACGCACGTCGTCATCAGACTCTTCTTCGATGAGCTTCTGTCCGATGTCGTTGCCCACTTGAGCGATGAGTTCACTCACGCTCATTTCCAGCTCGCTTATTCCAGCCTCGACGTCGTCAGTCGTAACGTCGTAAACGCTACGTCTCTTAGAACTACCGCTGCTACTGCTGCGGTCGACGCTACGCGCACGCAAAATAACCTTTGAATTTAGTTCTTCGTCAGGCTTTTCGTCTTTGGGTTCCGACGCTTCAGCCGCCGTTGGTTCTTTAGATCCATCATTAGAATCACAATTTTCATCATTTTTACAGACATCCTTATCACTAATATCACAAATTTCACCTGAAGTTTTTTCTTCGGCATTCGCCTCCGCCACCTCCACCTCTTTTTCTCCACTAACTTCTATAGTATGCGTCACTTCGAGAGGCTCAGTAACCACGGTCTTGTCTTCCTCCTTACCGGAAATTTTTTCTGAGATTTGGTCGCAAGCATCAAAATCTAAAACCGAAGTCACTTGCAACTCGAATCCTTCTAATCTTTTTTTCGTCAGAACGCTTCGCACGTAAGCCACCAACCGAGTTACCTGAAACAAAAATGTTCTTATATTCGAGAATCAAAGAACATTATCTTTAAAGTGTATCATGAAGGATGAGTCAAACAGCAAATAGATAAGACGAGCATCAAAAATAAACAAACCAAGGCAGTTAATAACAAAAAATACATTGCATATTACCGAAATAATAATTTAAAGACTGAACTCACTTCTGCCTCGCCGAAGTTTCCTCCCAAGACGCACGTGAGCTTCACGTTACGGACCGACTCATTGAACGCGAGGGACGTGAAGAACGCGTCTTGTCTGTCGGCGAGATGGCGGCTGTCGGCGTCGAGATCGACGAGGATCTCGAGAGTCTCGAGGGAACAGTCGGGCGAGTAGAGCAGGCGAGCCCAATCATCGAGATCAGGCGAGTAACTCTGGATCGTCACGTGGTCTCGATTGGACACGTGTTTGCATACCTGCACGTTAGAAGGGTTCTGATAAGATATGATATTCTGAACTCAAGGATGGCTGAGCACACGTTCAAGTTACTATAATTTTCACGTCTTTCGTCTTTAAATAAGTAAAAGTTACCACATTATCTATGTGAGCTTCATAAGATTGTGATTAGGAAAAGTGTTGCCAGATGACCGGCAGGTTACCAAGTTACTTCGGTAACGTTAACCTGCCCTTTTCTTACCAGATAACCAGAAGGTTACCAAGTTACCTCGATAACGTTCATTTGCCCTCTGCCGCTCTCCCTGAGGAGTCTGAGAACAAGGGATGGGGAGGCAGGATGTAGGGGCGCCATCTGGGCCAACATGTTGATGACGGTGTGGGCGTTGCGGCCCAGTAGCCCCACCAGCCACTGCACCACCAGCACTCCGCTGGGGCCTCCCGCGCTCCTGTCACGGAATCAAAGTTATTTATTTATTTATTGAAGTGGTTATCCCGATGGCTCGAGATAAAAGATCCACAAACTTATAGACTGAAGTAATAAAATTCTTGTTACTTCATTATACAAATAATATCGTAAATATATAGTATATTGCAATTATAATACTATATAATAATATAAATAGTTTGGTAGTAATATATAATTGCTATAGTACCATATTTCACTATATAAAGCATATAAATAAAAAATGCGAGTGCGATTTGTTCGAATGAATGAAACAGCCAAAAAAAGTTGCGTGCATATGCTGCTACTTTTAGGAGTATAATTAAAGCTAAACAGTCGTGAGACAAGTAACACGTATGAAAATCATATCGTGAATGTTCATAGTAGAAAGTAACAGACCCTAATCAATAGCTCAATTCAATTCATTGATACATTATTAATCTTGAACAGACTTGTTCATGATGTTAATTGTGCATCCATAGAAACAAGGCGCACGTCTAAGCGAGCGCGAGGATATGGCATTAAGCAAAAAAATGATCAGCAAAATCCCCCTACCAAAAAAAAAAATTTAAAAATATTCGGCCAAGTCCGCCAAATTTTTTTAAAATATTCGGCCAAGTCCCCCAAAAATTTATAAAATACTCGGCCAAATCCACCAAAAGTTTAAAAATATTCGGTCAAATACCATAAACTTTCGACTGAGATCTATGTCAACGGCAAACGTCACGCTTTACAGTTATTTCTTTCTGTAAATCCCAGAAAACTAAAATTTTCTACCAAATTTGGAATCCAATTAAATCCTGTTGACAAATTAAAACATATTTATAAACAATAATATATTCAAATTTCTAGGAATTGCACACACAAACTTGCAAACTATAACAAGTCAGTAATTTGTTATTTCGAACCTGAAAAATATATGGATACGAAAATTATTTTTTTGCAAAATGTATACATTTAAAAAAAAATTAAATTTTTTAAATCAGAATATTATTAACAAAACCAAACTCAACAAATGTTGATAATTTTCTCAACAAATGTTGATCATTTTCTCAACAAAGGTTGATACTTTTTTCAACAAAAAAAGATAGTGAAATTTACTAAAAACTTAAAAGCAAAGAAAACTCCACCAAAATTCGTAGTATCTTTAAAGAAAACGCTCTGCCGTATGGCAGGTTAGGTTAGGTTAGCCTATGTTATGTTAGGTTAGGTTAGGTTGAGTTAGCTATGCCGTATGTCTGGCAACTCACGGCGGCCCCGCGGCGGTGATGTTGACTTTGAGGGCGAGGGCGTCGAGCTCAGCCTGCAGCAGCGGCTCAGAGGTGATGAGTCCAGAGAGGTAATATGCAGCCATGAACTCCACCATGCAGCTGCACGCCATCACAACACATGTTAAGAGAGAGGTAATATGCGACCATGAACTCCACCATGCAGCTGCACGCCACAACACATGTTAAGAGAGAGGTAATATGCGTAATAGTATCAAGTAGCACTGGAATCAATAGAATAGTATCGAGTGACATTAGTATCAATAGTATAGTATCAGGGCAGCATTAGTATCAATAATATAGTGTTGAATAACATCAGTACCTATCAATATCGTATGCACGTCAATATATATTACCTTACCTGTACAAAGACCAATTAATATACACGCCTATACAGAAGCGTGTATGGACAGACGGATAGACGCGTTTCCACTAGTGTATAGTCCTGAACCTTGCCTGTGCGATTATGTATGGACCAGTGAATATTCAACCTGTGTATTAGCATGTGTCACACGTGCCTACACTCGTGTGTAGAAGTGTCTCACCTGTGTAGAGGCACGTGTCTCACCTGTGTAGAGGCACGTGTCTCACCTGTGTAGAGGCACGTGTCTCACCTGCGTAGAGGCACGTGTCTCACCTGTGTAGAGGCACGTATCTCACCTCCACAACACATGTTAAGAGAGAGGTAATATGCTGCCATGAACTCCACCATGCAGCTGCACGCCACCACAACATATGCTGCGTAGCAATTACATTGTATCAAGTAGCATTGGAATCAATAGAATAGAATCGAGTAACATTAGTATCAATAGACTATAGTATAGTTTCAAGCAGCATTGGTAGCAATAGTATCTGGTCAGCAGTTAAAGAATCAACAGTGAAATAAAAATACATAGTTTCAACAATACCCAAAGTCACATTTCTCACCCTTTCTTAACTATGGAGATAGACGTATCTTCACTATGATGAAGCACATATCTCATTTGTGTGTATGCACGTACAAGAACCTTATCTGTACAAAGACCTATGGATATATACGCCTATACAGGTTGTGTATATCCTCGCTATGGTCTCACCTGTGTAGAGGCACGTGTCTCACCTGTGTAGAGGCACGTGTCTCACCTGTGTAGAGGCACGTGTCTCACCTGTGTAGAGGCACGTATCTCACCTGTGTAGAGGCACGTGTCTCACCTGTGTAGAGGCACGTATCGTTCCTTCCTCGTGTGCTTGGACGCAGAAGGCAGCTTCAGAAGCAGGCCCATGTCTACGAGCTCCTGGCCGTGCTGGCAGCGAGTCTTCAGCTCGTGCAGGCTGAAGTAGCACGTCTTGTTCTTGATGGACTCGAGTGACAGCTTACCGAATTCCTAGAACAGTTGAACAATCATTCAGAATTATTCGTTTAAATTTGTTGTCGCTTTTCAAGTTGAAGATCATCTTCAACAAGTTGTAGCATCTTACGACGGCTGACAACAAATGGAAATACCGTCAGTTATAGCGTCTTGGGTAAATTTTACACTTCAGATTTGCATCCATTTATTCTACGCACTGCTCTATAAGAGCAGAGAAAAGTGACTGCGATCATGAAGAGTCAAGCAAATGCAGGTAAATACAAAAATTTATTAGTTTGTCGGAAAGTTTTGATGAAAATACTGTACGTATGCATGAATACGTCTCGCCTCTGAATTGATTCGATTTCAACTCATTCCTGCTAACAAAGGACAGTCATCCATGAGAAAATATTGGGCATTCCATGCTTAGTATAAAAATTTCCTTTGAAATCGCATTCAATTCTTCGATGTGTATTAGATAACTGTAATGTAGATTACACTCCTAACACACAAGTTTTTCTCTTCATCATTATCTAAATATAAACTTTAGGGGTCCCAAAACTTTCGTTTGCGCTCCCAAATTATAGTCCCCTAGAAGAGCTTGATGTATTTTGGATGATTATAATCGCAATAATCGAGAGGGCTGTGATCATTTGGGAAGTGAAAGATTTTTATTTATCAGGCCTGGAAAAGCTAATATTTTTGTCAGGCTCCTCATATTCACCTGGAAGAGCTTGATGTATTTATCAGGCCTTGAAGAGCTAATATATTTGTCAGGCTAATTATATTCACCTTGAAGAGCTTGATGTGTTTATATGTGTAGAGCTAATAGAAAGACTTGAAGAGCTAATATATTTGCCAGGCTAATAATATTCACCTGGAAGAGCTTGATGTATTTATCAGGCAAGACATGGTAGCACATGGGTTCGCCACGTCGTAGCAGGTTGACCCTCGTCAGGTGCTTCAGTAGTCCGCTGTACAAGTCCGTGAGCCGTGAGGGCAAGCGGCCGCTGAGGTCCTCGAACTGCAGTGCCAGAGCCACGCTCATGATGTGGCACTCTGCCAGACTGCCGTACTTGTCCCTCTCGCCCAGCACTACTTGACTTAGCTGGAAACAAATAGATTATTCTGATGGTGAACACGGATTTTGTGTTCAGGTCGAAGGTGCACACCAAGAACGAGTCTTGCTAGGGAACAAAAAAGGATCAGTAAGCTCAATCGAACATTGGATAATATGATAACAATTTAGTTCCTGTAAAAGAAGTCTATGGAAAGTAATGAAAAGTAATGAAGAGCTACGCACCTTATTCGAGAAGTCAGGTTTGCCCATAACAGAGCAGTACCGAGCGATGTGCTCCTTACAGCTGTCCATAGACATGCCTGAAAAAGCATATAACAAGAATGAAGAGAAAAAATGTTTTTTTTTTTAAACACGTTAACTAATGAAAGATGGTTAGGCAAGTGGACATAATGTAAAAAATAACCAATTACGAATATGAACAACGTTAAATCAACATGAGTAGGCGAGTAACGATGGAAATTATCGCATCATTTTTGCCCTCGGTCGTAACAAAAACTTTGAGTAAAATAAGGGACGTACAGCTTATACATGGGATCAGAAGTTGCACAGCATATAAAAAATTGCCACAAATCAATAATCCACTTATAAAGCATTGTGATCCACTTATAAAACGTCCACTTATAAAATATCGTACATGTAAAACACTATCATTCTTTATTATTTTATACAAAGAGACTATTTTTAGGCAATAATATTATTTTATATTATCTTTACCTATGAAAATATGTACGAATGTGTTATCTTACTCACCGAAAAAGTACATACACATAAAATAATACAAAAAATACAACAAATAGTACCGGTGACGCGGTAGACCCGGTTAAGCGCCGCCGTTGGGGGAGCGACGGTTGAGTCGACGCGGGTGGTTATGAGCACCGTACACCCGGGCAGTAGCCGCCCCTCCGTCAGGTCAAGCAGGTCACCCACCTCACCTTCGTTAAGCTCGTCCCAGCCCACCAGCAGGAATAAAACCTGAAGTGAAATTGACGCATTAAGTTTGAAAAAAGTGACTGCGACATCGAGGAAAAAAACGTCAGCAGGAATAACACTTCAAGGGACATTGCATAACACAGATCAAAAACATTTATTGCTATTCCGCCGAAAAAAATGAAAGATCAAAGATGACATAAAAATAGGAGTAAGCGTTTTTAATAGTCATGATTAGTGAAGAAAAATAGAATTTAGTGTTACGATATGACGGTTGCAGTTAATGAAAAGGCTAATTCTACAATTGAACCCGCATCCTAGTGAGCAGTTCGGTATGATTATTTTTCAACATGCAGCAACAGGTTAAATGAACAGACAAGCCAGTTCCAAAGCAAAATAATTTCAGTGGTTTCCTACCTTGTCGTCAATTTTATGGCGGTAAAATCAAAAGAATCTCAATAACTTTTACCTTGTCATCGATTTTATGGAGGTAGTTCCATAAGGTGGTCATAGCTTCCTTGCTGAGAATGTGCTTAGGGAGAACTTCTTTACACAAGTGCTGGAATATTGAACCTCCTTTGAAGTCTCTCAGCGTCACTACGATAACAACGCTGCAAAAAAATAATGAAAGTGGTTAACTTCTCTTGAACTGGTTACTTGTTCTGAGAATGGTAAATTAATCTTGAAATGTTAACCTCTTCTGGAAATGCTTCCACATTCCCGTAATGATCTCTTGTTGTTGTTCTTGAAAAGGTTACCCGTCGTTGAAATGGTTTCTTATTTTTGAAATGTCTCTCTGTACCTATAATGGTCTCTTGTTCTTTTAATGGTTACCTATTGGGTAATTGGTTACCTGTAGCAGTGGAGGTGGTAGTCCTGCGGTGCAGTTGCCCAGTGGTATGCCAGGCTGAAGGGCAGGGCGCTCCTAGCGTAGCTGCAGCGGTGGCTCTCCACCAGCACGCGGCCTGGTCGGCTCTCTATTCCACCCTGGAAAACGTTCCAAAATTTCAGAACTTATTCCCAAGGATTAAAAAGGCATTATTGTATTTTAGATTCATATTGTATTTTAGATTTATATTGTAGTTTAGATTTAGTTTTATATTATTCGTACTGTATCAATTTGAAATTATTGCTGAGAATACAGTTATTTGAAAAAGTATTTGAATTTATGGTAAATAATTGATTTTAATCATTCGTCAACTGGAAGTTCAGGGCCAAATGAAAGTAAGTAATAATAAACTACTGTACCTAATAAAATACAAATAAACTTCATGGAATCTAAGCTATCAAAATACGGGTAAAATGAAAAAAAATTCGCACCCAGTAGAAAAATACCCTAAAATATCTGAACAGCGGAGAAAATTTCAAATTAACACCCTGGCTCCATGTGAGCAGCAAATACCATAACAGAGAAATTCAATCACCAATACATCAAGAGGAAAATACAAATAAGTAATTACAAATAATTACTAATATCTGTTTAAACTAATGAAATTTTTGATGATTAAATTTTTCAGGTAAATGAATAATAAAATGTTGAAATTTACTGATCAAATTGAAAAAATTGTCAATGTAACATAAAAAAGACATTCAGTATTATAGATAATTGAATTTTTCTGATAATTGAATAATAAAATGCTGAAATTGACTAATCAAATGGAAAAAAATTATTAATGGAACATGAAAAAGACATTCAGAATTAGTGATAATTAAATTTTTCAGGTAATTGAATAATAAAATGTTGAAATTTACTGATCAAATTGAAAAAATTGTTAATAGAATATGAAAAAGAAATTTAGTATTATAGAAAATTGAATTTTTCAGGTAATTGAATAATAAAATGTTAAAATTGTCTGATCAAATGGATAAAATTGTTAATGGAACATGAAAAGGACATCCAGTATTATAGATAATTGAATTTATCAGGTAATTGAATAATGAAATGTTTAAATTGACTTATAAAATGGAAAAAATTGTTAACGGAACATGAGGTATGCAGTTAATGGAACAAAGATATTTAGTAACTACTGAAGACACGGGCCCAGTGAGTGCAGCAAGGGGGACAAGGGGGCGAGACGGCGAGGGGGGCGCTGTCCCCTAACCTTCTGCGTGAGGTTCCTAAGGATGGCGTGGCCGGGGATAGAGACGCCCCCGCCTTTGGGGAGAGGCGCCCCTGGTGACGGCAGGGGCGTGACGTTGCAGGAGAACTTGCTTACGCATAAGCTGCAGAAACATTTCATACGTATACATTGACTCGTACGTAAATAAATAAAATGTTGCTTATATATTGCCTCATATATCTACCTATAGTATAAAACGTAACGTATATATTGCCTCGTATATCTACCTATATAAAACGTTGCGTATATATTGCCTCATATATCTACCTATATAAAACGTTACGTATATATTGCCTCATATATCTACCTATATAAAACGTTACGTATATATTGCCAAAACATAGAATGAGGATCACAATAAAGTTTTCCACATGGTCTTCTTGAACAACAATCAAGCTCCGAATGTATTTCTCGAACTCTTTATGTTCTTGGCAGAAAAATTAAGTGAAATACAACTCGCTCATTGACTGAGGAGTGAAGTCCAAGATAAAATATCAGGCAAGTCAGTTAACTTAACTGAGAAATAACTTGAGCTAAAACTTTCCCTGTTTAGTTTACAGTAATTAGAGACAAAATAACTGTCACATAACATATTCTTCATGTCAAGTCCGAAATGAGTGATCTAGTCACCCAACGTAATCGTTAAATGAGATGTCCAAACTCAATTCCAAACCCTTAACATTTTCTCAACGGTCAGACGTCAATTGGTCAAAATTTGTTATTATCAAACCATTTTTCACTATTATTATGATGATCACAGTGATGATGGTATTAAAAGGACACCGTATCATATTCATGTAAGTACAAGACTACAAGTCACTCACTGGAACTTGAATTCAATCATCAGACATCAATTGGTCGAAGTATGAGATTGTCGAGTCATAATTCACAATTATTATGATGATCACATTGATGTTGTTGGCATTAACAAGACACCGTATCACATTAATAGCAGTACAAGTCACTTACTGGAACTTGGGACTAAACGGTCATACGTCAATTGGTGGAAGTATGAGATTGTCGAGTCATGATTCACTTTAATTTTGATGATCGCATTCATATTGTGCTAATTAACAGGACACAGTCTCATATTCATAAGAGTACAACCCAGTGAAAATTTACAGACGCGGCAGCTTCTGATTTAGATTCCCAGAAGCTGGGGCGAATTTTGTTAGGGAAGTCACTTACTGGAACTTGGGACACCAGGGCAGCTTGAGAGGGGTGTTGGTGAGACTCTTGTACTGCGTGCGGAGGAAAGCCGCAACTCTAGCCACAAGTGCGCCACCCATGTCGGCCGTGCCACGCATGGACGCTACACGCAGGGACGATATGTAGTGATGAGGGGCGATGATGTTCCCAGAGGCAGTAGGGGACGTCGGGGTTGAAGGTATCGTGAAGGAGTCTGAAGGAGTAGTGGGAGTAAAGGAATGGTGGAAAAAAGGTGAGCTTGGACTGGTAGGAGTACCGGGTATACTTGAAGGAATTGTGATGAAAGGTGGTGGGGTACGTCGCTTGTTCGGGGTGCCAGAGACGTTCGGGATGACCAAGTACGGAGGAGCGATCCGAGACAAACACGGAGACGTGTTTGATGACGATACCAGAGACACGTCGGATCCGGGGTCGAGGGACTGACGAGGGCACGTCGGGTCCGGTCGAGACCTGACGAGGGCAGGAGAGCTCCCCAAGAAGAGAGGGTCACTGGTCCTCTTAGGGGACGAGGTAGGGGCTGGGGTGGAAGTGAGGAAACTTGGTGCAGAACTGGAGTCGGAGCCTATAACTTCCTAAGTGAGGAAATTACCACAGGAAATTAATAAAATAAATAATCGGGTTGCCATGCGGCAAGATTTAAGTGGTTGATTTCGGTACGGGTATGAGAATATAAGCATTGTAATTATGCAATTTCAAGATTTTGAATGCATTGGAGACTAGTCTACTGTCATCGCAATGCTGTTAATTATGTGATCAAGATACTACGGCGGAATATGGCAATGCAATTGCGAATAAAATGCATACGTACGAAGATGCCAATATTTAACTACAAACAAATTTAATCATCTCATTCACGCATCATCGCATAACGATTAAAGACATGAGATTTATTCGCTGTCCATTACTTAAATAAACAAATGATGTTATGGTGTCATCACAACAGATAAATCGCCTGAGCAAGAACACATATATTAGCTAAAACACTTACGCAATGAACGGAACAAACCTGAGGGAAGTGAACCTTTGCCTCGCGCTTCGGTAAAGTTCCGCACTCGCTTCTCGTGTCTTTCAGAGCCGATTTTCGTGCCTCTTTAGAGTCCCGTTTTGATTTTAGTCGTTCAATGCTGGCAGTTTGGCTCTCATTTTCGTCGCGAGTCTTACTAGCGCTTTCGGATACTTTTTCATCATGTGAACCTTTCTCGGCAGCGGCCTCAGAACTGTCAGTTAAAACTTCTTTTCCTTCGGTCATAACTTCTTGAACAACAGTTATCCGATCAAGGTTAGTGTTTTCTGTCATGGTTGACGAAGCCGTCATTTCTTCCTCAGGCTCATCGCATATCAAGTCGGTGACGACTTCGTTATCGCTGTCCATGACATGATTCTGGACTTGGCCGTACTTAATTTCGCTTAAACAACTGTCTGAACGGCGACGAGGGGTTGGTAAAATATCTGAAGACTCGTCGGTAGATGTATTTTCTGTATTTTTTTGGTGTATTTCATCGGCGACTGAAGATGAACCCTTGACTAGGTTCGTCTTTTGGTCACAAGAACAATCCTCGTCTGCTCCACAGCTCTTACATTTTCCAGATCCATTTGAAGTTTCCGAGGTGCTCGCATCAGTATCAGTACTCGCATCGGTACTCTGTACGCCATCAATTTTCCTATCTTCCTTTTCTCGATCAGAAGTGTCAGATGTTTGATCTTTCGATTCAGAAAATTCATCCATATTGGCGAGAGGAACAGAGACAGTACCAGCCGTGTTCATGGTGGCCTCCTCATCAAGTCTCAATTGCAAGTGGGACAATCTTTTATTCGAGTCAGAAGACCTAGAGTTCATCACATTTTTAGATTCAACGAACTCAGACGTTATACTACCATCGCAGTCCGTTTGCCCGCCAGGCATTTCGTTACGCTCAGCAGAATCGTTGGATTTTTGCCGATCATCCGCAGAAGACGGGGATGATGACGTGAGAGAGCACGACGACGACGCCGTGGTTACGTAACTGGATTCCCCCTGAGGAATGGGCGGCGGTGAGCACTGTGGGGGCATCATTACAGGGGAAGAACAATGAAAAACATCTCCGCTCGATAAAAATGGAACCGAGAGTTTATCATTTGATGTATTTGAATGGTCCAAAATGTTGTCGGAAGATTTAATGCTTGATTCAGACGTGTGAAAGGATCTAATTGAAGAGCATTTCGAAGACCTGTCCTCGCAAACGGCGTTGCTCTTTTCAGATCGAGGGGAGGCTTTTGTGGAACATGGTAACGAAATGGAAGGATTTTTTCCATTGAAGTTATGAATTTTCACGTCTTCTGATCCCAAAGATCGTCTCATCAGCACCTCACCGCAAGGCTTCAGTGACTGTCGATGTCTCTCCAAACTCTTATTGCCATTTAGCTTGACGACGGCCGGTGCCGAGAGAATAACCTTAGGAAATCTTTTAGCTTTTCGTGGATGTTCAGAAAGTTTCTGGTCGCACTCGGGGTCGGATTTAGTATCGAGACTTCCATACCCACAAGAAAGAGACGCAATGTCGTCCAATGTATCGATACTAAAGTCGCCGGGCCCGATGTCTTCCAGAAGATGACTTAGAGATCTCGTTTCGTCGAGGCCGAATTTCTCACAATCTCCCAAAAGTGACGATGCACAAGACGAAGATCCGCTCTCGTCTATATACCGGATCAGGTCCCCAACAGGTGCGTTGTCGTTTGGTGGAGGCGCCACGGCGATCTCAATAACATTTCTCGGTGACTTTTTGACGATGAAATCAACGAGTTCACTTATGCCGCTGCTGCTGTCCTCAACGATCGGCTCAACGGACATCTTCACTGCAACCTGCACGAAAATAAATAGATCAGTTCTTGTGAAATCATCAACAAAACCTATTCTCTATAAAATCAAATGTGGAATTCATAAAATCACCGACCCTGAATTCAAGGACAAAGAAAATGGCTGGCCTGAAAATTCGACGCTAAATTCAGAGCAACTGTCGAAAAAAGCATCATGCATGCAGCAACGATCACATAAACGCCAATTTTTTTTACTTTACTCTAAATAGCTCAACAAAAACTTGAAAGAAGGCACAGAATCAATTGAATCAATTTGCAACATCAGACATAGCCAACACAAATTACAGCCAATCTTGACAACACAGAAGGCAAAAATCGCCATTAAGGTAGAGATGCGTTGAAGTGAGTTGCTTGAAAAAGAATCAATTTAATCAATTTGCAACATCAGACATAGCCAACACAAATTACAGCCAATCTTGACAACACAGAAGGCAAAAATCGCCATTAAGGTAGAGATGCGATGAACTGAGTTGCTTGAAAAGAATCAATTGAATCTCCAGCCGTCAAGGCGTTTTTCCTCCAGCAAAGGCAGGTGCGGTCAAACGACTTTTCAACGAAGCGACCACCTTCCATGCCGCCCATAACGCGTCATTGCATCGCCCGCAGAAAAACAAGGACGACCAGTTAACTGCAGCTCAGCGAGGCAGCAGCTCAGACTTAGCTCTTAAGAAGAGCTTAAAACTTTACGCAAAGCTTGGATCTCAAATTATAATTGACCTCTAACTCATCCGTTACGGTGCTTATGTGCGTTGACTTAACTCGAAGACACGTAAGTTCAACTAAATACTTAGTGATACAATTTTCCTAATTTTAATTCTTCGTTATTAATAATGAAATTTACTGATATTATTAATATTAACTTATAATAAGCTATGAATATTAAGGTTCTCAGGTGCAAGCAAAATCAGGAAGATATTTAGCGCGCAAAGCAGTTGTGTTTTAATGAATCCAGCAATTTGTGGCAATTATAATTATTTTCTGTGAAGCATACGAATTGATGTAACTAAATTTAAAAACGAGGAAAATAAATTAAACACGTCAAATATATTCTTGTGAGAAATAGATTCTTATGTGAAATAGATTTTTCAATACCTTGAAAAAAAACTTCGATGTTTAACTTAATAACATCACGAAATTTGCAGTTTATTGGATATAAAAGAACCAGGAAACAGGAATATGATACACGCATCTCAAAACGAAGCCGGCATGAAATGAATTGATAAAATTTTCATATTCGATAAAGGAAGTTCGTAGAAATCAGGCTTTATCAGATGGTGCGATAATCTTTGGAAGTTACGTGTTGTTCGCACGCGACATTTGGCTGAACTTTGGCCTCCAGAGCCACAGACATACAAGACGTCGGACGCGAAATTGATGTTGGATGCGAAATTATGACACTGCAGTGAAATGACGTCGCTGTCACCATGCAGTCACATGCTGGTGCGAGGTCACATCAGCGATTATAAGTCATTTATAAGCAGGGAAAGCCATGCATGCATGAGCTAGCAGAGCACAATGAGAGCTTCAGCGCAGCTGGCTTCGTGCTAATTTGCGTATGAAGCTCAGCAATCTGAAGTTCAACTACAAATGGCTAGCTTGATAGCGGAAAAACAATACCTAGTACATTAAATTTTATTCACTGCATGATACTGAATTCTTCTCTAAATGTTAATGCCCAGAAGTCAGAACTATTCAACACTATTAATTTTTCAGTCTGTAGTATCTTAAATGTATTTCCTAGATTAAATCAACAAATTAGCTATATAGCACGAATTTTGTGGCGAAATAACGCGAATTAAAATGATGATGCATTTCATAATTGGAACCTTTCAGTGCATTTTTTTAATTCGCGCCTTACGTTCAACACTCAACCAGCTCAATGTTTTGCATTAGCGCTTGAAAATGCATTAGATCTACTTTATTTAACTCTAAGATGCTTTGTTGGCAGCAAACAAGTAAAAACATGAAAAATCTCTGTAAATGATAAGTGAAAAATTCATCATCAGATAATACGAAACTCTTTATTAAATACTTGACTCAAAATGTGAACATGAAAATTATAATTATTCTTCACGAGGCCGAGACTTCGAACAACGAAACTAGATTACAAGGGCAAAACAAGAATATAATTTCTTTTAGGCAAAACAGTTGAGAGGGCGATGACCGAAAGCCCTTACGCTCGAGTAAGGCAACTTAGACAGCAATGACTCGGCGTTTTCGATTGAACTTCGCGGCGCCACACCAGCTCGGTTTCTGAACACAGAGTGACGAGAAAACCAACAATCGTTGTTTTTTAAGGGAAAGCGGAGGCCGGGTAAGAAACTCACAACCAAGGTAATGAACACCGAGTAATGGAGAAGGTCCCTCGAGATCGTATCTGTTGACCATGAAATGAACGCCACTCCAAAAAGATGCCTTTCAGGATTCTTACTTTTTCATGAATAATTTATTTTCTACAAGCCTAAGCCTAAACTTTATTTAAGGGCGTGAATTAATATAGTTTACCAACACGTCGCCAATTTATCATAAATTAATGAGCAAACCATCGTCATATTATTCTACACGAGTTTCGTTACATAAATAGGAACTTCATAAACCTCATCTTTATTTCTGACGTTACGAACGTGCCGACCCATCCATCTCGTAGCGTTTGCGTATGGATAGTCTTAAGCCGTACGTTAAGCTAAAAACCTTGCAAAAACAGAAAAATTTAAATATGTGGATCACTTTACATGCAATATGAAACAGCGCTAAACTCAATCAAACACTTACATCACATTGCAAAAAATCAATCTTATGGATACAGGAGCAGGTTCACGTTGCAACCTTTGAGCATATAATTTTAGTAAAATTATTAAACAATTCCATTACTGAACATGCTTACCTTGGCCTACTATCAAAAGGTTTATTTTACCTTTTTTACCTTTTATACATTTATATAGTCATTACCTATTCTTAAAATATATAAAAGAACAAGCATGTGAAATATATTAAAAAAACATGCATGGTTTTGTGCACTTGCGCTACACAGAAGCAAGGCTCACACATACAACTAAATTCTGTGGCCTATTTGGTCAAATTCAGGGTAAGAAAAAACCTAGTGTTTAAAAGTTATTACAGCGTTTAGATGAGATAAGCGATAGCTCTACTTGGGAGAGACACTCTTAAAAAAAAATAAACATCAGGGCAAGTGACGAGAGTTCTCGGACACACACAAGATAGCATCTCAGGACCGCGGCATGAATTGCCCACTAAATGCGGGCTATAAGACTCATATTTATGCATGCATAGCAGTAGATATTCATGGGCAATAGGGCATAGATCATAACACGGATTGTCAATGTGGCAATTCATAGTAAGATATCATGAACTTATTAAAATACTATGAATCCTAACTACGATGAAACATGGCAGAGTTAGGAGATATGATACGTTCGAGAGCTGACGCGCTGTAACAGAACGCTCAGTCGAATTCACAGAAAATGAAAATGGGAATAGCTTAAAGTTGAATTCTGTCAGAAATGCTCCACATGAAAAAATCAATAAATATCCTCATTTCCGAATGAGGATATTTATATCCTCATCTCCGAATTTAATATTTGCTAAATATTGTATTTGAGTAGTAATTTTTTAAGTCAATGTTTGCTAATTCGAAGGGAGTATTCACCAGTCCCTTGCGCAGTTAGGTCAGTCAATTTATCAATTCAGTCAATTTATCAATTTTCAGTCAATTTATCAATTGACTGAAATTAATAGCCGAAATTTTTTTCACTTAGAATACGTATCAGTTAATAAGCTGGAAATCTGACAGTCCAGTATAAATGTACTCCAACGATAATAACAACGTTTAATGGCTATAATTTACGAACAATTCGCTGGCTCAAAGTATAACTAAACGGGCTCAAAGGTTCAAAATGAAAACTTACCCTACAAATAAAATCAGATTTCGATTACTTCTTACTTATCACCAGATTGAAGTTTTTTTCAAGGTCAAACGTCATAAAACAAAGAGTGTTCTCAGAATTTCGACACTCAAATCAATAACTCTATTACGAGGCCCTACATTCCCAAGTGTTTTGATTGCACGAACAATGAGAGCATCATATTTTCCCATATACAAGAGAATACAACTTACAACTTCCTTCAAGATTTCATTATACACATTTCCATCAAAATTTGAACATTTTCGCAAATAAAATTCAAATCTAAGCATTGTGAATCGCAAAGAATATGCTGGAACCAACCAAGGAAATTCAGAAGCAAATTCATCAAGATAGAGAGGCATGCAGGCGATGCATTCAGCTCACCGAATTGGGATTTACGTGAAGCAATTACTGCCTTACAAGCACTGGTAAAGTGGCTTCGCTTGTGTAAGCGATGCTAATAAGGAGACCTCCAGCCAACAGATGTCCGATCCTATGCCCTCGTTGTGACAAGAAGAACGCATTCATGAAGGAGTACAAGGAGATAAACAAATATAGATATAATATTCAATTTAGTATAGATATAATATTCAATAGTATAGTAAATGAATAAGCGGTGACTGTACTAAGAAGATGTGGTTTTAATTTGCCGTGTATGTTACACGAAATTCAATCAATATTAACAAAATCATTAAAGAAATGAGTGTCTATTGTCCAAGCATTCCTATAAAAAGTAATTTAAAAAATAATGTTTTATTTTTAGATTATAAATCAAAAACTTTCGAACGCCGGTCCGTTATCTGATTTCTGACAGTACCGAGATTTTTGACAGCACTTTAATGTCCTGAAATTTATTTTATCAAGGTCTTCAAGCCAACGAAAAATATGTATGAAGAAGAAAAAAGCAACCATGCACCAAGTTCGAAAATAAATACAGCAAAGCGCGATAACGATAGTGCAGTTTCAACATGAAAAATCATTGATTTTTCGTTATTGTATCAATGAGTGAAGTTGGTAAAAAATAACAGTATATATTTCCTATGTTTTACTACAAGGAAAGATT